AGAGTAATTTCACACGAAGAATGAACAATATCATTTCTTGACATTCTTTGTGCTTCTCTCCTTCATGTCTTCACCATCCGTGTGAGCCTCATTTGCTTGCCATGAGAGGATAATTTTCCTAGCAAAATTTAAAAAAAAAATTATATTATTTGATACTTCCTCCGCTTTTGAATATAAATTATTTTGTAAAAAAATATAATTCCAACCATCAAAGGACAATGTATATTTGATCTTGATGTGAAGTAACTATTAGCATAGAGACACCATTTATTAGTTCCAACCATCAGCCCCGCCAAAACTATCAAAGTTGACTGGTAGTTTTGATTTTTCTTTTCATCCTTTAACTTTATTTTGCTTCTATCTCCTTCATGAAATTCCCACACACACAATCACACACCTTTATATTATTTACTATATTATTCAACATGGAACAATCCTCTCAACCATCCTTCAAACAACCCAAACTCAACAATCCAACTTTACCCTACACTTCTCAACTTTCTGACCATGTTTTTCATTCAGATAAACTTCCATACTTCGAAACTGTTTTGAGAGGAAAACAAAATGTATCGGTTAAAAATGAAGTGGAAGACATCAAAGAAAACGTTGAAAGAGAACAGAAAAAGGGGTCCATGTTAAAGGCTTTTGAATCCTTCACTAGAGTAAAAGATTCCTTATCAAGAGCAATAGAGGGATTAGAGGGTGAAAAGGGTGAAACTTTTGTTAGAGAAATAGTCTGTATGAAATCAGAATCAGTTGATGAATCAACGTTGTTATTAGAAGAAGCAAGGTTGATTTCAAGGCTTGCATTTGAAGTTGAAACAAAGGTGGAAAACTATAAGGAGTTAAGGAAAAAAGAGAAGAGAGAGTTGGAGAATAGTTTGATTAGTTTAACTGAAGAGAATAGGGATATTAATAACTTGCTTAGGGTTGCTTTGTTGGAGAAAGAAGCTTTAGAGAAGAGAATTAAGGGACATGATCATAAAAGAATGCCTCTTTTGCAGTTTGCTGAGTTTGGATTGCAGAAAGTTGGGTTTGGGTTCATGATGGGAGGAAGTGGTAATCATGACCAAACAATGGATAGTACTTCTGAGAGTAACAAATCTGATACTAGTGACTATGAAGTTGAAGTTGTTAGTATGGTAAGTTCTTATCTGTGTAGCACTAGCACCGACACTTCTAAAAAAAAGTGTGTACACTTGTAATTACGTTTAATTTGCGTGTTAGTGTCGGTAAAATATTGAAAAACTACATTAGTTCTGAAATTTTTGTTCAATATTTTGCAAGGCCTCGATGGTGGAAAGGATAATGAAGAATCTACGTCTTGAAATCACTCAAACGAGAAGATCTTTGGAAGAATCGAGGTATTTTTAACGTATAATTATGTATAATCTCCTTCGTCGAGTTTGGTTTTGGATTATTTACTATGAACTTCATGCCAGGTCAGACACGGAGCGACTTCACTGTCTCGTGGAGAGACAAAACAAAGAGATTGCAGAAAATAAACTCTACATCAAGGAGTTAGAAGATAGAGAAAGAGTTTTAGCTCAAAATGTAATCACCTAGTTGATCAATAAATGGAATAATCCATAATCATTCGTTAACTAAACCTCTCATTCTCACTAGCTTTTTTCCTTTCTGTCATACATAAAAGGTAGAGGAGTTTTTGATGGAAATCAAAGAAGCAGAAGAAGAAGTAGCCAGATGGAAGGAAGCTTGTGAATTAGAAGTTAAAGCAGGAAAGAAGGAAGTTGAAGAACGCGACAAAATGGTAAACCAAAATCAACATTTTTTTCTAAATTTTTCGTAGTTATTTCAACTTTTTATAGTATATATAGCCTATATCTAAATTGATGATGTTTGAATGTTCCATGAGGTGGCTGCATTGAAACAAGAACTACTGAAAACAAAGGGTGCATTGGACATATCTAATGGAAAACTGAGGCTTAAAGAAGAACTTGCAATGACTGCAATAGCAGCACAGGAAGCAGCAGAGAGGTCATTGCAGCTAGCTGATAGCAGAGGAGTTGAGCTTCGTTGGCGAATTGAAGAACTGACCAGACAACTAGAGGAAGCAGAGAAGCGAGAACGGAGTAGTCATAAAGGGAGACGTTTATGTTGGCCATGGCAAGTTTTTAGAATGAGTTCTAGCAATATTGCTGACTCTAAAATTGGAAATGCTAAAAGGATGCGACCAGAAATGCAATCTTTTCTTCAATAAATTGTATATAACATGATTTTCCAAAAACAAAACAGTGGATTGTATGATTTGTGTTGTTTTCGGATTTTAAAATATTTGTCACCGAAGAAATTATCAGGTTGAGTCGCGGACTAGGTCGTTCTCTAAGACGTTTCACGGTACTGTTCAAAACTATGCAAAGCACTCGAACCACCGCGCTGCCTCTAGGATAAAACAACCTAGTTCTATACTGGGCGATTACTAATTTCTCAAAGACCAGTCATAATAATTTCTCAAACAAAAAGAAACTCTACTCATAATAATTTCTCCAACAAATAGAAATTCAAATAATTCTCTAAAGAGAATCAAAAAGATTAAACTTGAAAATTTCTTTAAAGATTAAACTCAAATGAAGAAAAATTAACATAATTCTCTAAAGAGAATTCAAGAAAATACTCGAAAAATTCAACGAGTAAGAAGAAAGGGGAAAAAGATGGCGCTTCAACAATTCGAGAGATGCAGAGTTATGAGAGTGAAGAATGAAAAAATAATAGAATAGTTTTTGGTGTGATTTAGAATCAAATATGTACACTCCTTATATAGTGAAGTAAGGTAGTTAATATTTCTCACGTGAGCAATGTGAGACTAAATAGTTTTTTTCAACCAAAAAGATATTCTAACAATGTGAGACTTTGAGAAATTTTTAAATTTAACATATTGGAACATAGACATGTTCCAACCATTTGTTATGTTGAAAAAGTGGAATATTTTTATTCTTTGTTTTTTTTACACCATTTGCAACAACACTTTCTTGTACCACTCTACTAAGTTGTAATAACCACCAAATTCACATAGCTTTGAGTTTCCGAATTTGAACATACTAATATCCGACCATATTCAATTTAATAATGAGAATTTCTTTTTTACATCTTGTTGTCTTCTTGTAGACTTTTGACAAAAAATCCAAAGTACTAACAGAATTCGGATATGCATATCCAAACGCATCAAGAATCATTTTTTATTAAATTTATTTCACATATGCATATCCGAAACCACTGGATTGCCTATTTCTGATATGCATATCCGAATTTATCTCTTGGACAGAAGAATCAACATAATTCAACATAATTCATCACTAGATTTAACATAATTCATCGAAATTACAGAAATAGTTCTACAGAAAATTAAAATTATATATTGTCATAAACGGGTAGTTGAGGTTTAATAACATCTTCTCCCGATCTTTGAAGCTTCGCATCCACCTCAATCGGACCCTTAGAAGAGTATCGTTGAAAAGTATCTCACATAACTTCTAAATTGCCGTTGTTCTTGAGTTCAAATGGGGTGAAGTTTATGTTTTCTTCATTGTCAAGTGAAGGTGAACGATACTCAAGTTTGATCACCTTTCGATTCTCTGGAAATTGCAAGAAAGAATTCAGTATGGTAATGAGCTCGGCGAACGATCTATCCTACGAGAACCTGAATTCAAGTGGCGACTTCGCACCACTGAAGTAGACAAAAGCAGGGTGTGGATATGTTTGTGTCTTTTCGGTTTGTGGTTTGTGATGGAGAATGAAATGGTTTGGAGACCCTATTTATAGCCTTTTTAGAGCAATTATCAACGTCCTTCAGCTCATTCGACTTAGGATCTTCATTGACCTTGTCTGGAACCTTTACGAGAGCTTTGGGAATATTGTCGGGGTGCACCATACCTAACACGGCCAAAACAACATAAATTCTGTTAAAACAGAATTCTCCTTCTATAACAGACATGTTTTCGGATATGCACATCCGAATTATGGTAGGTTGAATTCATATATGCATGTCCGAAGTGACGCTATTTTTTTCTTCCGTAAATCAGCATCAATGCAAGGAATGTAAGATGAAATGAGAAAAATTTACCTCAAATTGCAGCTTTCTATACTCTCTTTGTTATGCTCAAACACTTAAAGTTTGGTTTGGAGACGGAAATTTTATTGCAAATGGTTAAAGTTTTGTTGAAGGTTTTGGTTATGGGGAAAGAAAATGAATGAAATAGTTGAAATGAGTGACCATGCAGCAATCTAATATAGCAATGGTAGCTCTAGAATTTTAAATTCAACGTTTAAGTATTAAAACGTACAAAAATGGTATCTTTGGATGTGCATATCCAAAACATGCTAATAGGTGCATTCGGATATGCACATCTAAATGATATTTCCGAATTTTCAAATGTGTAACTCAACATAACAAGGTGGAGAAAGAAATCATTTTTAATAATAAGATCATTTTGTTAGGACAGAAAACTATGCATTCAAGACTTTAATGTTTATTTGATGGGCCAAAGATATTTATACAAAGCTTACAAAACATGTACTTTAGAACTGAAAATCATTTACAACCAACTTAACTGATTCGCAGTTACTTAACAAACTAACAACCTTTTAATAGCTAACAATCCTTCTCCTAAACCAAGTTGTCCAAGCATCCGACTATAGATCAAACCAAACTAAAAAAATTAGAACTAACTATTTTGAAATTTTTGCAAATTCTAAGCAGTTTCTTGAGTACAACTGACACGGCGACACCAATAATCAGACAACCACAGGCAAAGGGAGAATCTCCCCAAAATTGTGACAAAAACATCATTATTCTTCTTCAGCACAATGTTGATTCTCATTCTCAATAGTTAACAATCACTAGCATCATCTAAACTCATCAAATTTACAATCACGCAAAGCTACATCTTGAGAACATTTTATTTTGACGCTAACTATGTGAAATTCATATTTCATTTGTTTGTAAAAAAAAAAAAAATCACATTCATGATAATAACACAATGTCAGACACGTGTCTTGAGTGGTGGTGAAGAATCAAGAGAAGAATTTGGTTTCTTGACTGAGCATGATGATTTAAAAGCCTCAATTTGTGACTGACATTTAACATAATCCCCTTTGTTATCTTCCAAGCACTTTTTCAAAGCCTCAACATCACATGATGAATTTTTTTTCTTCACATTGCTAGTTTCCTCTTCTTTATGACCCATAACTTCCAATTTATTCACAATGAAAAAAGAACAGGCTCAATCAAAATAACAATTTAAAAAAAAAAAAACTACAGAATGCATTGAGACAGAAAATTTAGGTAATAACAGTAGAATGGAAATTCTTGAATTGTAGAAACGAACCTGTGAGGTGTTATTAGTAGAAATTGAAGAAGCCGTGATTTGAGAAGAAGGCAAAGATCAGCTCTGCAAACCCTAATACCGCTAAAGGGAGAAGACGATGATGAGTTGTCAATAAACTCGTTTTTCCATTTTGTTGGTACTTTTATTACATTTTTTTTAATAATTATTTTATGATATTATTTTTGTGAATAGGTTTTTATTAAATAATTGAATTACAATAATATAAGAGAAAACGGATGATGTACAAACAACCTAAATTAATTTTATATTATTAATCAATAATATTTACGTTTTTTATTAAATCAAATTGAAAATTTTAAGTTATTAATATAATATGATAAAATGATATATTTTTATTAAATGATAGTATACAACTTTTTATATTATCATACATCTCTATTAAACTCATAATATAATTCTATATAGTTTATTGTATTAAAATTACTAATTTATTATTAATATTTGTCGATAAAACCTACACAAATGTGTTAGATGTTAAAACTTTATTTTGATTTAATGACTTTGGATGGAGTGGAGCATAATAAGATTGAATAAAATGATATTATATTATTTGAAATTATTCTATTATGGAGCGAGATAAAATTATATTTCATATCATTTTATTCTATCTCGTTCTATTCCTTTTTAAATTATTTAAATTTTGAATGATTTAAAAATAGATGGAGCGTGACGGAATAGAGTAGTATAAAATATAGATTCAATTTTATTTTACCACTTCCTATTATATTTCTTTTATATTCGATACGTGCAAAACGAACAATTTATCTTATTCCATCGTAACATTTCTAAACAATTGAATGATATCTTTGTTCCTTTTTCGCTCCATTCTATTTCTACTTCATCCTACTCCGCTTTACTCCATTTCGCTGTATACATGATATCCAAACATAGTCTAAAAGATGATTAATTTATTAATTAGTTAAATTGAAATTGAGAGATTAATAAAATGAAGAATAGAAATTGAAAAAAAATAAAAAATAAAGTAAATTTTTTTATATTCATGTGTTTTTGTTAAATATCAATACCTTAATAAAAATTAATTTAAAATTTTAATTTTTTCAAAATTAATTCAAAAGTTAATTTAAAATTTAATTTATTTATAGAATCATACTAACATGTACTCAAAATCCTATTTAAAGTTTCAAAAAATTGAATACATTCATTCTAAAAAATATTTCTACAAATAATTTATTCTAAAAATATTTCTACAAATAATTTATTAATACAAATAAAATATAATATTTATAAATCAATAATTTTCAAAAGTAAAAACAAAATCATTTCATTTTTGCACTAGTCCATGTGGGGCTTTAATTTGAAAGCCACTCACCTAACCTTTTCCCTTAGTTTCTACATTGGACAAAGAAGAAGAATAATATATTGCATTTGATGTAAATACATTTTTTGTAGTCTTGTAAATAAGAGCACCTCAATTTGCCATGATGATAAAATTATCAATGAAGAAATTATACAGTTTTCAAAGTCAAGCTGAAACAACTCTAACTGATATAACTAATACAAAATTAACTGCCAAACTGTATTCTCACACATATTTACTTCATGTTCCATACATATATGAAGCATGAGAATAGAAGTGATTCCCAACCATTTCTAAGGTAAGAAACTCACCAATTTTCACTCTAGGTTATTTCCTCTTCTAACTACCAAAACTCACAAAAGAATGAATAAATTTTCGTTCAGATCAATAAATTCATATTTACTACATGTAAATTACACGATCATCATTCATCTCTTGAACACCATCTTGCCATGCTCATCCTTATCAAAAAGACGCTCAATCAATACATGCCAGCTTTCGTCAGCCTTACTCTTATTGGTTGAACTACCAGAAAACTCGGCCTCTGACTTTCTCGAACTCTCCTCTCCCTCGTCATCAAAAGACTTTCTCGAACTTTCCTCTCCCTCATCATCAAAAGTTCCGTATTGTGATGGTGGATTAAAAGCGTGTGGAACATGTAACGTTTTCGCCCTTTGTAAAGCTGCTTTGTACTCTTGGTTGTGTCTGGTCACTGTTTCCTGGCGCTCCATGATTTGCTTCGTAGGTACTTCCATAGCATTATCTTTCTCCAGCATCAACTGTAATTGGCAAATATGTCATCAAAATATTAAATAAAGTGCCAAATTAGTCGAATTTGATTGATTCCCCGTACTTAGGCTGATAGACTTACATTCAAAGCTCTTTGAGCCTCTTTCTCTATCCAAATAATGGCATGATCTGATGTAGCATTGCAAGAAAGAACTATGTGCTCAAACCTTCCATCTACTGGCACTGCTGTTTTCACAACTGGAGGAAACCTTCCACATCTGCGTAAAAACGGTGTTAAGAAATGAAAAGCCAAATGAAAAAGGCTGTATAAGCTTATTTTTAAAAGTAACCGTAAAAACAAATGCTAGAAAATCAAACGGATACATTGTGTTTAAACTTTGTTTTTACAGTGAAAGTTCTGCATTAGCTCTTTGTGGAATCCTTAGCCATACCTGAAAGGCTTTCTCTCAACAATGTGATAAAGTCGACCAGGTGCATAGAGTCTCCTTGGATCTTTCAGCATCTTCTCCTCTGATATACATGTATCCCTCATGCACTTCAAGCACAATAAGCACGGCAAACTACCAATCCAAGAAAACAGCATTAAAATTACAACGACAGTATACTCCAGTCTTATATAACAAGAATGATAATAACAAAGTTTGTTGTAAATGGGATGTTATAACTTTATACCATAATAGAGACTTGAATATATCTTCCAATGGGGTGGCTGTCCGTGGTAAGAAATCATCCTGACCAAGGAAAAGCGCGGTATGATTAAGCATGAATAAACCATAAGAGAGTATAAGCAGAAGTTTGTGATGCCGCTTAACGTCAACAATTAAAATAAGCCAAATTTTAAAATCATCTTAAGCACGCATATATAATAAAACAACAACAATCAGACGTTTTTTCCAGTAAGTTTCTATCACGTGAAATAAAGTCAGGAAAATATTTTTCTTGTGTATAACACTAAATTTCGTGCTAGTCCTCCATAAATTGTTTCTATCTGGCACATGAAAAATTTCATTCATCGACATCACTAGAAAATACAATTACGGGTTTGATGCTTTGACTATCCCTGCAGATAAAGCAAGCTCAGTAGTTATAATAAAGCAAGCTCAGAAACCATAAATTTTTGTCTTCTAATGATACTTATAAGCCATAGCATATATTAATGGAACAAAAAAATTAAAAAAGGAATGAAAGTAGCACACTATACCAACAAACGCTCTAATTTAACATTCACCGCATTCTACTATATGCAAAAATATTAAGAGGAATGCCAAAGATTCTTCGAGTAAGCGAATAAGATCTTGATAACTTGCCTGAAGCACGACGGAGTTTATGATATCCGCATATCTGACTGCCAAATTAAGCGACATACACCTAGCAGGAGCAATAGCATAACACTTAACTCTCTTCCTCTCGATGTTTCCAAGTCTATCCCGATTCTGCACAACCACCATGCTCAACATTGCAGCTACTCCCGATCCAAGCGAATGTCCAGCAAACGTAAGAGTATAATTCGGATACTTCTCTACCAATTCCCTCAAAATTTCACACTCGGCATCCAAAACCATCCCAGCAGCTTTCAACAATCCATTATGAACATATCCCCCATCAAACTTTCTCTTCCCCAATTTATTATCAAGCAGAACAGCATAGTCACTCTCCTTCGCCAAATTCAGTCCTCTTATAGCCAGAACTATATCCGCATGATCATGATCAAGATACAGTATATACGGCGGAGCCCTGCCGCGTGTATCTTTATACGTCCTTCTAAGTAATAACCAATCCGGGTTAATTCCATAACCACCAGGAGGTGCCCAAAGAGGGTTTCGAAGGTCGTCATACACAGATAAAATATATCTACAAAGTCGAGGGACGGGTTCAAATTCTTGTGTCGTGGCAACCCCCCATGTTTGACTGTCATGGCCTGCAGTGTGAAGACATCTCTTCCACGCCCAACGCGCACAAGCTAGACAGTACACACACTCAACAAGAGGGAAGGCACAGCAAATTGACATAGATAAAATACTATTAACTAATTTTCAAGTTGAAATGTAAATAAAAATCTCACAATAGTACTACTGTTGTTAACTTTCTCGTGATATTCACTGTAGAAGTTGATTCATTCTACACTCAAAACAAGCAAAGTACATGAATAATACAGTCGGAAATAATACAAAAAACGGTCAAATTTGAATTTGATGAATATCAAAATTGAATACAGAGATGGCTTACAGGGAAACCCAGAAACTCAAAGAATCAAACTTGATAACTTCATCCAAAAATGGTCGATTTGATCGCAAATTCGAAATTGGAGAAACGTGGGTTATTCTCAAACTAGTGCCTAGAAAACCAAAGCATCAAAATTTTGGGTTTTTCTCACATGTATGAACCCTTTTCTGCAACCTGATTAGAGATCTTGTGTACCGGAGGTACATCTACATTGAGCTTGAAGGAGAGGTCAATGAAGGGTGATAGGCAATGTGCACCATAGTTTATAATTTTATGTTTTTTTTTCTTTAATGTTTAACCAAATCAGAGATTAACACATCTTACTCAATTATAACATTTTTATATTTCCTTTCAAAAAAAATTATAAAAACTATTAAGATTTAAATCTAGAAATTTCATTTTGAAATTTTTTTTGCATGGACTTTTTAATGTGGCCAAGAGTATTATTTTGTGTCATATAATATTCCTTGTATTTTGACCGTTTTATATCAATTAAACAAAGATAATAAATAAATAAATGGTGATTTAACTCAATTATCCATTTAAT